ACATCTGAAGCAAGCATATTACAGATGAGTTACTTTCTTCCTCCATTTTCCAAAGGCCACATTAACAATATTTTCTAGGTTTTCCAAATAGGCAATTCTCTATAATTTTCTTTCTTTCTTTCTTTCTTTTTTTTTTAAATTACCTGGTTGTGAATATTGTGCAAAATCTTACTTATTTCTCCTTTCTTTAAAATATTGGATTCTAGTGTCCCGCTTGCTTTCATAATCACAATCCTAACACATTCCTGGTTCCCAGGTTTGTAATTTTCCTACTTTCTGCTGTCCCAGTTTCTCCTACCTTAAATCTGTCTTACTCTTCAGTAGCAAGAGTAGTCATCAAAGTAAGTTTTGATCGTGTAATAGCCTTTCTTAGAATTTTGAAGGACATTCCAATGCTTTTTAAAAATACTTTCTTCACTATCGTCTTCAGGGCACTCACAGTGTACCATTCATTCCCTCGTCATCCTAAATACCTAAGTTTTCTACCATTTTCTAGTATATTTTCCTTATTACATGAATAAGGAAGACTCAAGGAGAATTGATGCTTTTGAATGATGGTATTGGCAAAGAATATTGAATATACTATGGACTACCAGAAAAATGTACAAATCTACCTCAGAAGGAAGGTTGGGCAATCTACTTCTGTAGTGAAACCACCTCGGAAACCCACGGAGGGGTTGTTATGAGTCAGGTCTGACTCGATGACACATAACAACAATAACATCTTGGAAGAAGTACAGCCCAAATGCTCCTTAGAAATGAGGATGACGAGACTTCATCTCACATACTTTGGACATGTTATTAGGAAGGATCTGCCCCTGGAGGATCTGTCCCTGGAGAAGGACATTATGCTTGGTAAAGCAGTAGGTCAGTGAGAAAGAAGAAGATCCTCAATGAGATGGATTGACACAGTGGCTGTATGGTAATTAAGTTGTGTGTCAATTTGGCTGGGCCTGGTTTTGAGTGGCTGTGCAGCTGGATGTAGTTATTCCCCTGATGAAACTGGTAATCCCCTCCAAGGGAATGCCCTGGGGCAGCTGAGTAGCTGCCTTAGGTATGTGGTCTGCTTGAAGTATATAAAAAGAAGTATTGAGAAAGGTCTCTGTAGCTTTTTTTGGCATGCTTGGACCCTGTATGTACCCGAGTCTTCATTCAGCAGCCTGCCACATTTCCTGCCGATCTTGGGACTGTCTCTGGACTTGAACAAGTGGCCTGTCATGTTGTTTGGTAATCTTGGGACTGTGCCATCTTATTTGTTGACCTTGGGTTTGTCAGCCTCAGCAGCCAGCAGCTGCCTGAGTTAAGAGAAGCCTCCAGCTCCAGTGGGCCGGAAGCAAGAGGAAGAGTTGAAGTCTAAGGTCAAGGGGCTTTTACCCAGTCCCTAGAGCTGACACTTTGAAATCAGACTTCTAACCCTCTAAACTGTAAGAGAATAAATCCCTGTTTGTTAAAGCCACCCATTTGTGGTATTTTCTGTTGGAGTAGCACTAGAGAACCAAAGCAGGCTGTAATGATGGGCTTAAATGTAGCAAGGATTATGAAGATGGCGCAGGACCAGGAAGTGTTTTTTCTGTTGTACACAGGGTCACTGTGAGTGAGAACCAACTCTATGGCACTTAATAACCACAAGATGCCCCAAATCATTCCATTCATCTCTGTCTCTGTCTTTAATTACAATGGGGTCTTCTTCTAGGACAGAAAATGCCTGTTAATACATCTTCCTGTATTTGCCATCTCCCTGGTGAGTATGCACACACACCCATATCACACACACTCTTTGTCCATTCTCTTCTGAAACCTGGTCAGCAGGAACTCAGGAAACCAGAAGTGCAAGGTCACTTTCCTTTTGCTACTGCACTGCATAATCTTGGGAAAAATCCCTCCCCTTTGGATGAACCTCACTTTCTCCACCTTTTAAAAATGAAGTTGGAGAAAACAGTTGGAGGCTGATTCCACCTAAAATATATTTGCATATAATTTATTTAATTTTCGTTGTTGTTGAGAATATGCACAGCAGAACATATACCATTTCAACAATTTTTATATGTGCAATTCAGTGACCTTGATTACAGTCTTTGAGCTGTGCAACCTTTCTCACCCTCCTTTTCTGAGTTGTTCCTCCCTCATTAACGTAAACTCACTGCCCCTAAAAGTTCTTATCTAATCTTTCTAGTTGTTGTCGTCAATTTGATCCCATAGAGAGAGATCTTAAAAGAGCAGCACAATGCTCAAGGCAGACATACTGTTTGGTTTTGAGGAGCTGTCGGGGGATATTTTTGATTTAAGGTTTAAAGTTGCTTCTATCAAGTAGGTTTTGATTTGTCTTCTGCTAAAAACCCCATTGTATATTAACGACCCAGTCTCTCTTCCTACTAATGATTGCTCACCTTCCAGCTGTTTATAGGCCATTGGAGCATGCTTGCTCTGGTGATGTAGTGGGTAGGGCATTTGCCTGCTAACCAGAAGGTTGGGGGTTCAAACCTACCAGCTACCCCATGGGAGGAAGATGAGGCAATCTACTTCCATAAAGATTTATAGCCTAGGAAACCCAATGGGGTCACTTTGGGTCAGAAATGACTCAATGGAAGAGGGTTTGGTTTTTTTGGTTTTTCTTCTCTTAATATTAACAGGTATGTATATAGATTCTGTCTTGTTCCACTATTAGAGTTTATGTTCCTGGAACTTGCTTAATACAGATATACACAGATGGTGCTCAGGAAATGTGAGGTACCTAAGGCTTGAGAACTACACAGAATATAACCACAGTAACCATTGAGTGGATTCCCCACTTGTGTCTCCATCAGCTCACGGCAACCCCATGTGTATCAGAGTAGAGCTGTGCCCCACAGGGTTTTCGGTGGCTGACTGTTTGTAAGTAGGTCATCAGGACTTTCTTGAGGAATGTCTGGATAGACTCAAACCTTCAACCTTTCAATTAGCAACCAAGTTCATTAACCACTTGTACCACCCAGGACGCCCCAGATGGAATGTGGTAGATGCTAACAGAAGAACAACCAACAGTACAGGAAGGACATTTTCACCAGAATAATGAAAGCAAACATCACAGAGTCATTGGCACTTACAGGCACCTGAAAGATAGATATAATGTCATGAATGGCTAAGAAGGAGCAGAGGGAAGGTGAGAGTAAAAGTCTAGTAGGGGAAGAGCAAAACAGTTTCAAAATCCATCCAAAGACTTCCACACTTGTTCCTTTAGAAAAGGGGTCCCCCAGTGTGTTTGACTGTACAACTCCATTAATAAAAAAAATTGAATATGCGCTCCAAAAGTGTATATATACTTATTCATGCATTATATAACTCTACAATTCTACTAATATATTAAGGTGTACTTATAAAACAGGAGCTCTGGTAGCATAGTGTCTAAGGCACTTGACTGCTAACTAGAAGGCTGGCAGTTCAAACTCACCAGCCACTCTTCAGAAGGAAGGTTGGGCAATCTACTTCTGTAGTGATATTGCCTCGGAAACCCAAGGAGGGGTCGCTATGAGTTGGGTCTGACTCGATGGCACATAACAACAATACTTATAAAACACACTATAGTAAATTAGTGCCTAAGGCACTTGACTGCTGACCAGAAGGCTGGTGGTTCAAACCCACCAGCCACTCCTCGGAAGGAAGGTTGGGCAATCCTACTTCCGTAGTGATACTAACTCGGAAACCCAAGGAGGGGTCGCTATGAGTCGGGGCCGACTCGATGGCAAACAGCAACCACAACACCATAGTAAATTTTAAAGAAATAATAATAATAATAAAACACACACACACACACACACACACTATTAAATAGAATTTAAAAGAGATTTCCCCTATGTCAGCCGGTGGTCCTGCCTCAACCCTCAACTGCTGTCTCCTGTTGTGGTGACCACTGATTTGAAACCCACGTTCCAAAAGCCTGATGCTTTTGATGGCAAATGCCTCCACAGACTGATGTCACAGGGTCTGTGCAAAATTTCCTGCTAAGAGGGTCCACCGGTTTCATAAACATTTAAGACTCAGTTCTCTAGAGAATGAATGAATGACGGCACATAACCAGTAGTGCTTTTTTTTTTTTTTTTTTAATAAATTGAGGTGAAATTCACAAAATAAAAAATTTATAACCATTTTACAGTGAACAATTTAGTGGCATTTAGTACATTTACATTGTTGTGCAACCACCACCTCTATTTTCAAAATACATCTTCCCATGCGGAAACCCCATACAGATTAAGCAGTTGCTCTCCTTTCTACGGTCCCTGGCAACCACCAATCTATATTCTATTTCTATGCATTTACCTCTTCTGGATATTTTATATGTAGGCATACCTAGGAGATATTGTGGTTTTAGTTCCAGACTACTGCAATAAAGGGAATATCACAATAAAGCAAGTCACACGAAATGCTTGGATTCCCAGTGCATATAAAAATTATGTTTATGCCAGACTACAGTCTATGAGTTATGAAAAAGTTTGAAATATTTTGGGAATTATCAAAGTGTGACACAAAGAAATGAAGTGAGCACATGCTGTTGGACAAATGGCGCCAATAGACTTGCTTAAGTGAGGTTATCACAAACCTACAATTTGTAAAAAAAGCAATATTGGCAAAGTGCAATAAAGCGAAGTGCAATACAACGAGTTAAGCCTGTGATTGCAAACATAATGCTTGACCCTTTGTGTCTCGCTTCTTTCCCTTAGCTTACTGTTTCTGAGATTCATACCGTGGTTATTATAACAGTCACCACCACAGCAATGAAAATGAGACAACAACAGCAACAGCTTAAAAAATTCCCATGTGTGGAATTCAGGGATGGGAAGGAATGAGAAACCTCACTTGAGGGGGAGAAATGGACTCTCGTCTCCAGCGGGTAACTGGTGTTTGCTCTTGGGCTGTAAGAAGTGGGAAGACTCATAGCCTCTGGGGGCTTAGTTAACCAGGATGAACTGGGTAATGCTTTTCCCCCCTTTCCAGCTTTCCCTGCTACTGCATCCCTTGAGGTGCTTCTATTTGCAGGAGAAGGCATTGGAGCGGTGATCTTGTGGGCAGGTGAACTTATTGGTGGCACCTGTTGGATTGGAAATCTTGGAGCAGTTAATGATCTTGAGATGTTGCTGGCCTTGGGAGCACTGACAGCTTTGGAAGGATTAGGGACTTTGGGGCAATCTGTTGGTTGAAGGGGCTTGTCAATTTTAGGGGGTGGATGTGAGGAAGAGAGGTCAATGGTTGTAGCAATGACGTTAGGCCCCTTGGCATCCTTAGTGGGGACAGGCAGTGGTGGAGGCACTGTTGACTGCAGGCCTAGGTCTAACCTACCCTGAGCACAAAAACCCTGCAGACATGCCTCACAGTTGTCACTGTCGTGTGGCCCTTCAAGAGAGATGTTCTTGATTGTAGGAATTGTTTCAATTGACTTAAATTCTTCTCTGTAGCATTTCTTCAGAATTCGGAGCACCAGGTTGTACAAGATCCTTGAGATGTTCTCTTGTGTGAACTCTGGAGTCTCAAAAGGAGGCTGGCAGCACTTCTTACACCTCTGGGCAAAGACCCTCATCTTCACCTGGCCTCTGGACTTCCTTTTGCTCCAATTCATGTGGAAGAGGACCTGAACTTGGGCTGAGGCCCAGCTGCGGGAGCAAGAGGAGCACTGAAACCTGTGGAGGCAGAAAACAAGACCCTCAACTGGGCTCAGTATGGCCAGAAGTTCGGGCTACTGCTTGAGGGAGGAGGCTGCTACAACAACATTGAGACATCACTTGATTGGGGTCATGGGTTAGTAGTGGAAGAAATTACTGTCTCCAAAAGGAGCTCTGGTGGTGCAGTGTCTAAGACATTTGACTACTAACCAGAAGGTTGGTGGTTCAAATCCACCAGCCACTTCGCAGAAAGAAGATGGAGCAATCTACTTCCGTAAAGATTTACTGCCTTGGAAACCCAGTGGGAGTTGCTATGAGTCAGACTTGACCAGACTTGACTCAATGGCCAGGAGTTTTTTTTTTTTGTTTGTTTTTATTCATGTCTCCATTCTGCCACTGTCAATGAATCTCACTGGTTTAGAAGTAATGTAATGATGTAAGGTGGCAAATGTGTAATGAAACCCCATGATGTGATCTGATGTGATAAACCAATTGGATGTTAGAGGATTAAGATTAAGGGTGGCTTGCAACACCCTTAGTCCCATCACAGCTCTGATCCAACATAAGGGGAGCTTCCTTGGGGTGTGGCCTGCAACACCTTTTATCTTAGAAGAGCTAAAAGAAGAGAGAAGGGAGGAAAGAGGGGAACCTACTACCACCAAGAAAGAGGAGCCAGGAGTGGAGTGCATCCTTTGTTCTAGGAACAAGAAATGTAGAAAGAGAAAGTCTTCCCCTAGAGCTGGTATGCTGAACTTGGATTTCTAGCCTCCTGATCTGACTTGTCGGCAGTGAGTTTTGTTTTGTTTTTGTTTTAAACTATAAGAGAATAAATTTCTCTTTGTTAAATCCATCCACTTGTGGAATTTCTGTTGTAGCAGCCCTAGAAAATTAAGACAGCCACCAACATACTATGTGACCCATGGGTGTCTATCATGAAATAGCAAGTTACAACCTGTCAGGATCCTGAACATCTCCTAAATTGAACAAGGCCTTTGGGTCTGGAATCAGCAAGTCCAGAGACACATGGGTGTGTAAGAGGCAGAGACAGCACTAGAACTCTTGTCTCCTTACCCCAAACCAAGGGCGCTTCACATTCAGATTTAAATGAGTCAAGCAAATGGTGCAAATGCAATGTCAGCCATTAAACCAGCTTACTTGATCCCTGACCTGAAATGCATAAAAAGGATGCAAGTTAGGTGTAGTCACAGACCCGTAGATCAAGGAGAATGTTAAAAGGTCAAGGACCTGGTTGCTCAGGGCTCCCTGATCTTCCAGTATTACAGGGAGATCACAGCTCTCTCTCCTTTTGTTCCCCTCCAACTCAGCCCCTTTGCTCAAGGTTGCCTGGGAATCTTCTCATTCTGAGTGCCCTTGGCCTCAGACAGGGTACAAGAGAATGTCACCTCCATTCAGCAGGGAGGAGAGCAATGTTCTGAGCTAAGACATTTGAACAAATATCTGTAAGGACAGTGGAGAGAGGGGAAGAAGGCAGGAGTGTACATGGCTGCATCCAGAATAGGAATTACGGAGGAGACAGGCATCTGCATTATGAGAGAAAATTTACTGCTGACCAAATAATCCATGCACTCTCTCTCTCTCATGTCCCAGCTCTTTGCAGTTAGGTTGGGGCCATGTGATGTGGGATGTGGGCAGAAGTGACATATGATACTTTCAGATCTGGCCGTAAAAATCCTTGTAAGACCCTCCAATTATCTCTACCTCAATGTCCTTGGAAGCCATATGTTAGGTTGTTGTTGTTAGCTGCAGTCAAGTCAGCTCCGACTCAGAGTGACCCTACGTAAAATAGAACAAAACACTGCCCAATCCTGTGCCATCCTCACAATCCTTGAGCCCATCATTGTAGTCACTGTGTCAATCCATCTTGTTGAGGATCTTCCCCTTTTTCACTGACCCTCTATTTTATCAAGTACGATATCCTTCTCCAGGGACTGGTCCCTTTTGATAACATGACCAACGTATGAGAGATGAAGTCTGGCCATTCTTACTTCTAAGGAGCATTCCAGCTTCACTTTTTCCATGACGATTTGTTTGTTCTTCTGATAGTCCATGGTATATTCAGTGCAATTCAAGGGCATCAGTTCTTCAGTTTTCCTTATTCATTGTCCAGCTTTCACGTGTATATGAGGCTATTGAAAATGCCGTGGCTTGGGTCAGGAGCATCTTAGGATTCAAACTCATATCTTTGCTCCTTTAACACTCCAAAGAGGTCTTTTGCAGCACATTTATCCAATGCAATACATCACTTCATTTCTTGACTGTTGCTTTCAAAGGCATTGATTGTGGATCCAAGTAAAAAGAAATTCTTGACAACTTCAATCTTTTCTCCATTTATCATGATGTTGCTTCTTAGTCCAGTTGTGAGGATTTTCGTTTCTTTATGTTGAGGTGTAATCTGTACTGAAGTCTTTGGCCTTCATCAGTAAGTGCTTCAGGTCATGTTCACTTTCAGCAAGCAAGGTCGTGTCATCTGCATATATGCAGATTATTAGTAAGTCTTCCTCCAATCCTAATGCCATGTTCTTCCTCATATAGTCCAGCTTCTCGGGTTGTTTGTTCAGCATACAATTTGAGTAAGTATGGTGAAAGGATACAACCCTTGCCTGATTTTAAAGTATCCAGTATCCCTTTGTTCTTTTCGAATGACTGCCTCTTGGTCTATGTACAGGTTCCTCATGAGCACAATAAGTGTTCTGGAATTCTCATTTTTTGCAATATTATCCATAATTTGTTATGATCCACACAGTCGAATGCCTTTGCATAGTCAATACAACAAAGGTAAACATCCTTCTGCTGTCAGTCAAGATCCATCTGACATCAATAATGCTATCTCTCCTGCCACATCCTCTTCTTAATCAAGCTTGAATTTCTGGCAGTTTCCTGTGTATGTACTGCTGCAACCGTTTTTCAATTATTTTCAGTAAAGTTTTATTTGTATGTGATATTAATGATGTTATTTGATAATTGTCTCATTCTATTGGATCACTTTTCTTTGGAATGGGCACAAATATGGATCTCTTCCCGTCAGTTCACCAGGTAGCTGTCTTTCAAATTTCTTGACATAAATGAGTAAGGGCTTCCAGCATTCCATCTCTTTGTTGAAACATCTCAGTGAGTATTTCCTCAATTCCTGGAGCCTTGTTTTTCAGCAATTCCTTCAGTGTAGCTTGGACTTCTTCTTTCAATACCATTGATTCTTGATCATATGCTACCTCCTGAAATGGTTGAATATTGACCAATTCTTTTTGGTACATGGACTTTGTGCATTCCTTCCACCTGCTTTTGATGTTTTCTGTATTGGTCAATATTTGCCCACAGAATCCTTCAATATTGCAAATTGAGGTGGAATTTTTTCTTCACTTCTTTCAGCTTGAGAAATGCCAAGCATGTTCTTTCTTTTTGATTTTCTAATTCTAGGAGCTCTGGTAGCATAGTGGCTAAAGCACTTGACTGCTAACCAGAAGGCTGGCAGTTCAAACCCACCAGCCACTCCTCGGAAGGAAGGTTGGGCAATCCTACTTCCATAGTGATACTGCCTCGGAAACCCAAGGAGGGGTCGCTATGAGTCGGGGCCGACTCGACGGCACATAACAACAACAACAACAACAACACATTTCATTATACATTACTTTGTCTTCTTGGGCTACCCTTTGAAATCTTCTTTTCAGCTCTTTTACTTCATCATTTCTTCTATTTGCTTCAGCTATTCTTCACTTAAGAGCAATATTCAGAGTTTCTTCTTACATACATTTTGGTCTTTTCTTACTTTCCTGTTTTTGTTTAATGACATTTTGCTTTCCTCATGTATGATATCCTCTCACAACTCATCTGGTCTTCAGTAAGTGGTGTTCCAGGACCTCAAATCTATTCTTGAAATGGTCTCTAAATTCAAGTGGGATATAATCAAGGTCGTATTTTAGCTCTTGTGGACTTGTTTTAAGTTTCTGCAGCTTCAAGTTAAATTTGTATATGAGCAGTTGATGGTCTGCTCCACAGTCAGCCCCTGACCTTGTTCTGACAAGTAATATTGAGCTTCTCCACAATATCTTTCCACAGATATAGTTGATTTGATTCCTATGTATTTTATCTGGCAAGATGTTAAGTTAAATCACCGATCTTCCTCTGTTTGTTACTGCAGTCTAGCTTAGCCTTGCCCAGCTTAATGTGAGCATGGTATGTTCTATTTATGTAGATCTCTTATAGTTTCTTGAAGCAGTGTTTTGGAGTTTTCTTTGTATAGGTCTTTTGGGTTCCTGGAAAGTCTGGGATGGTGAATCAGAGGGGGCTGGGGAGAAGGAGTTAGGCAATGCTATTTCACTCCTACATCTTGAGTCTAGCAACCCCCTTGCTCTCCTACCTGTCCCTGGAGGGGGTGGCCTCCTCAGAATGGGGGCCTCTCCCTTGTGGGCTCCATGATGAGCCTGTGGGTCTTCTAGGACTGGAAGAATTGCCATGAGCCTTGCCCACTCGGCACTTAGGGGGTTGAGTGAAATACCTACCACTCCCCTCCTTCTCTTTTCCTACCTGCTCTCTGTCCCCATCTCACAGCCCAATTTCTTTGTATCTAGAGCTTAGGCCTGCTAGTGTTTTGGGGTTCATTGTAACAGGAAACACAACTTTATTGAAGCTAATACTTCTTGAATGATGGCCACCATACTTACTATAATCTTCAATTTATAAGTAGGGGATGCACTAGGAAAAGTAAGGAGTGTACCAAAACAAACAAACAAACAAAAAAAAAACAGCTGCTATTGAGTTGAGTCCAACTCGTGATGACCCTATGTGTGCCAGAGTAGAACTGTGCTCCATAGGGTTTTCAAGGGCTGATTTTTTTGGACATAGATTGCTAGGTCTTTCTTCTGAGGCACCTCTTGGTGGGTTGGGACAACCAACTTCTTGGTTAGCGCTACAGCACATTAAGGAGCTCTGGTAGCATAGTGCCTAAAGCCCTTGACTGCTAACCAGAAGACTGGCTGTTCAAAGCCACCAGCTACTCCTCAAGGAAGGTTGGGCAATCTACTTCCGTACAGATACTGCCTCAGAAACCTAAGGTGGGGTCACTATGAGTCAGAAATGACTTGACGGCACATAACAACAACAACACAGCACATTAAACATGTATATTAAACAACAGCCAAATCCACTGCCTTTGAGTTGATCATGACTCATAGTGACCCCATAGGACAGTGTAGAACTACCTCACAGGGTTTCCAAGGCTTTAAATCATTATGGAAGCAGACTGCCACATCTTTCATCCATGGAGTTGCTGGTAGGTTCCAACTGCTGATCTTTGGGCTAGCAGCTGAGGGCTTAACCACTCTGCCACAAAACTCCATTAAAGGGTAAAAAATAAGCAAGAATTTCCTGGAATCTATCCCCATTGCATTCCCCACTAACCTGGCAAAGGTCCACTGCTGGTATTGTGTCCACCCTGGCTCCTGGATGTTAGGAAGAAGATCCTTGTCTAGCGTCAGGGTCCAAGTGTGCCATGGTTTCACCTCCTGCATTAATTCCTGGAACACTTGCCTCCACACCTCTATGTTTTCACCCATCTCTGTGCTCTGGTGTGTCTGGGTGGGCCACGGTCTCCCAGGCCCTGACAGGTTCACAGCAGGAGATGAAGTCTCCACTTGAAAGCATGAGAGCTCAAATCTTCTCTCCCTCTATGTACCAGAATCAGCCTGTGGATTAAGTCTTTGTCCCAAGGACAGAGATCAGTTGAATTTGGCTCCAAGTTCAGAGAACAATACTGGGCTCCGAGAGGAAGGAAGACATGGAATGCATGATTTCATCCCCCAGAACATTCCTGGAAAAGAACTCTGACCCAGTCAGGAGGGGTGGGGTTTCACTTCTATCTCTTGTTTGTTTCCCTTCAGCCTGGTGCACAACCTTTTACCTTTGAGCCCCTGTAAATGGTGGTGGGGACTGCAAGTGCCTTTTCTAGTTCTAATATCTGAAAATTCCAATCCACTAGGTTGCTGTACTTATGATGTGAGAGGAGAGACAGAGAGGAAGGACTTGCCCAGAGTGTGAGCTTCACTCGAGATCCTGCCTTCTGTCCTGTGCTTTCCCTTCCTGGCGCAGGCCTTGCCCTCTGTGGCACGGTATTCCACAGACTGTGCTGTCCAAGGATGCAACTGTCAGTGGTGTGGAAATAGACAAACAACACCCAAATAAGGACTAAAAAGAGGTTATTTACTCAGAACTTGTGATAGCAAAGGAATCAGCCACTTTCAGTTTTGTTTGGCTGAGTCTCAAAGGCAGGCAGGGAAGTGGGAGAGCTTTGTAGTGAAAAAAGGGAAGTGTGGGAAGCTAGAGTGGGGTGACTAGAAGTGGGGCATGGTATGTGATTGGTTAATCATCCCACCCATCCCCTGTGGAATTGATTTCAGCTCACAGTGATCCTGTAAGGCATAGTGCCTCACAGTTTCAAAGGCTGTAATTTTTTCTCTTTTTATTTTTATTATGGTGAAAACATACACAACAAGACATTTGCCAACATAACAGCTTCCACATTTATAACTCAGGGACACTGATTACACTTTTCATGTCGTGCCACCATTCTTGCTGTCCTTTTCCAAAATATTCCACCATCTAGTAGCATAAACTCAATGCCTACCCTCCCATCAAAAGCTTCCCCTTTCCCCCCTCCCTCCTACCTCTGATAGCCACTAATAATCTTTGGTATGTATATGAGTATGTGTATGTGTATGTGTATCTATATATCTATATCTATATCTATATCTATGTCTATCTGTATACATTTTTCAACCTATCTAGAAATTTTCCCTCCTCTCCCCTCCCATCCCCTCCCTGGTGACTAACAATGAAAGTTTCCTTCTGTGTATAAACCTTTCCTTGACTTTTTACAATAAAGAACTAATTTTTCCTTCTGTGATTGACTTATTTCACTCAGCATAATGTCCTCCAAGTTCATCCATGTTATATAGTGTTTTGTAGATTCTACATTGTTCTTTAGGGTTCCATACTATTTCATTGTGTGTATGTACCACAGTTTGTTTATTCATTCCTTGGTTGATGGGCATTTAGGTTGATTCCATCCCTTTGTCATTGTGTATAGTGTTGCAATGAACATGAGTGCGCATATATTGATTCATGACCTGCCTCTCATTACTTTAGGATATCTACCTAGTAATGGGATTGCTGGATCAAATGGTATTTTTATTTCCAACTTTTTAAGGAACCGCCATACCAATTTCCACAGTGGTTGTATCATTTTACAGTCCCACCAGCAGTGTGTGAGAGTCCCAATCTCTCCACATCTTCATAAGCACTTGTTATTTTCTGTCTTCTTGAATTTGGCTATTAAGCTGGGATGAGATAGTATCTCATGGTTGTTTTGATTTGCATCTAGTGCCTAAGGCATTTAACTGCTAACCAGAAGGCTGGCGGTTCAAAGCCACCAGCCACTCCTCAGAAGGAAGGTTGGGCAATCTACTTGCGTAGTGATATCACCTCAGAAACCCAAGGAGGGGTTGCAGTGAGTGAGATCTGACTTGATGGCACATAACAACGACAACAATGGCTAATGATTGCAAACATTTCTTCATGTGTTTATTGGCTGCCTGAATATCTTCTGTGGTGAAGTTTCTATTTATGTCTTCTGACCATTTTTTAATTGGATTGTTTGTCTTTTTGTTGTTGAGGTATTGGCGTTTTCTATACATTTTAGAGATAAGTCCTTTGTCCAATATGTCATTGCTGAATATTTTTTCCCAATCTTTAGGTTCTGTTTTTACTCTTTTGGAGAAGTCTTTGGATGCACATAAAAATTTAATTTTGAGAAGGTCCCAATCATCTAGTTTCTCTTCTGCTGTTTGTGCATCTTGGATTATGCTTGACATTCTATTTATGCCATAAATTAGGGCCCCTAAATCTGTCCCTATTTTTTCCTTGATGAACTTTATAGTTATAGGTTTCACATTTAAGCCTTTGATGCATCTGGAGTTAGTTTTTGTGTATGGTGTGAGGTACAGATCTTATTTCAGTTTTCTGCAAATAGATATACAGTTTAGCCAGCATGATTTGTTCAAGATACCGTCTTTTTCCCATTTAATGGATTTCAGCTCTTTGTCAAAGATCAACTGACCATAAGTCAATGGATCTATTTCTGGGTTCTAAATTCTGTTCCACTGGTCTATGTATCTGTTGTTGTACCAATACCAGGCTGTTTTATTTTTATTTATTTATTTATTTATTTTGATTTGGGTGAAGATTTACAGAGCAAATTTACTTTCCATACAGCAGTTCACATATACTTTGTCTCATGCCATTGACCACTGTTTACCACAATGCAACAGCTCCCCTCCCACTTCCTCCCCATAGTTACCTCTTCCCAGTGTCCATCCCTCCATACTCTCCTGTCCCCTGAGCTGTCTCCCTGTGCATAAGCAGCCCTTCCTTCTCCCATGATTGTTCTCTCCA